CTGAGAGAAACGGATCCGCTTTGGGGTTGTTGCTGAGAGAAACGGATCCGCTTTGGGGCTGTTGCTGAGAGAAACGGATCCGCTTTGGGGCTGTTGCTGAGAGAAACGGATCCGCTTTGGGGCTGTTGCTGAGAGAAACGGATCCGCTTTGGGGCTGTTGCTGAGAGAAACGGATCCGCTTTGGGGCTGTTGCTGAGAGAAACGGATCCGCTTTGGGGCTGTTGCTGAGAGAAACGGATCCGCTTTGGGGCTGTTGCTGAGAGAAACGGATCCGCTTTGGGGCTGTTGCTGAGAGAAACGGATCCGCTTTGGGGCTGTTGCTGAGAGAAACGGATCCGCTTTGGGGCTGTTGCTGAGAGAAACGGATCCGCTTTGGGGCTGTTGCTGAGAGAAACGGATCCGCTTTGGGGCTGTTGCTGAGAGAAACGGATCCGCTTTGGGGCTGTTGCTGAGAGAAACGGATCCGCTTTGGGGCTGTTGCTCAAACAGACCCATGTTGCAGCAGGGAGGCCCCCGGGAAGACAGGAAAGCCAGGGAGGGGCTTGGCAAGGGGAGGCAGGTCCCTGCCTTATCGTGGAAGGCACGAATTGGTACTGAGAGCAGAAACGGACTGTGCTGGTGCTGGTGCAGTGCAGCCCCCAGGCAGGAGCACCTCTGTGTGCCTCCCCCCACCCACAGAGCTGCCCTTTGTTTGCATAAGGAGTTAAAATTAAGTTTAAAAAGGAGCTCTCTGATCCTGGGAGAGCAGCGGGGCTGCAGGCAAGGCAGCCTCCCGGGGCCCCACCTCTGCAGGCTGCAGCTTCTGCCATCTTGCCTGGCACAAGGGGAGCAGGGGGGTGTCTGGCCCAAGGCACTGCATGGTGTGGAGCAGGGGCCTCTGCGTTCTGTGTGCTGAAAGAGGAAACGTCTGAGACCATGAAGAGCTGTGGCAGCCGGAGGAGTGGTTCTGAAGAGCCACGGGGCTCTCACAGGACGATCTTGAAGGAGCTGCAAGAGACACAACAGGTTCTGTACCTCCTCGCTGGGTCACACGCAAGCGGTCTGTTAGCTCCCAGCGAGGCAGGGAGGCGGCGTTACATGGTGTGAGAGAGGCTCTGCAGAGCGAGCACAGGATGTCGCTCCCTCTGCGGCTGAGGAAGATCTCACCCAGGGTAACTGAGAGCTCTGCCCCAGCATGGCCAGCGGGGCAGGCGAGCCCCCTGGGACAAGCCGTGCTGCTGGACACCAACCTACCTGGTGAAGTCTGGGGAGCGAGAGACAATGTGCTGGAACTCGGAGAGGTTGATGGTGCCATCCTTGTCAATGTCGGCCTCCTCCAGGATCTGGAGGGGGGGGGAAATGGGCGGTGAGCTCCGCGTGGCCTGTGCGGCAGCCCCTTCCCCACCTGATGGTCCTCACGTTTTGGATCAGCTGCTCCATCTCAGCAGTGCTCAGCTGGGACCCCTCGCCATCCCCCGTCAGACAGTTCACCAGTTTCTCCAGGTCCTTTCTGTCCAGAGCCCCATCCTCATCAAAGTCTTTGGGGAGGGGAAAGTTACGTTTTGGCAGGGCCGCAGTGACCCCAGAGAGTCACGAGCAGCCGTGCTCGGTGAGAGGGCCTGGGTGACCCACAGTGGGCTCCACGCCACACTGCACCAAACCAGCAGTTCCCAGAGGGAGCTCCCAGCTCCCCTGAGATTTATCCCTGACCCCCGAGACACGGGGAACCCAGGGTGCAGCATCCACCCCCCGACCTTACCAAAGATGCGGAAGGCGTAGTGGGATTTGATGTCCAAAGTAGCGGCATCGCTGAAGACGCTCAGCATGTCGAGGAAGTCTTCAAAGGACATGCTGCCATCCCTGTTGTCTGAGGTGGAGAACACGCGGCAGATCTGGTGCTGGAAGGGGTTCGCCTGCCAACACAGAAGGGCTCAGGGCAGGGCTGGGCAGCGCCGGGCCTGTTCCCTCATGGCAGACACTGGCCACAGGCTCCTGCAGACGAGCAGGTTCCCCCCACTCTGCACGAGTGCCTCCCCAGGGCTGCAGGGATCTTTGGGATCGTCCACGGCACAGCGGGGACAAGGAAGCCGTTTGCTGGCTCAGCACGGCGGCGGGTGCACAGGGCCCTGCCCAAACACGCGCAGCCCCGGGGAGCAGCAGCATGTCCCGCTGTCTGCCAGGCACCATACCCGCAGCTCGGGCAGCGTCAGGATGCAGCTCTTGGGGAGCCGTGCGGAGCAGGCATTCTCCCTCTCCTCCTTTGGCAGCAGTTCGCTGAACCTCTTGTAGGCACTTGAAGAGGCAAGAACAAGAGAGGCTCTGGGCATGGGAAGCGCGGGCGGCTATTCCCAGCGCTGCGCAGAGGCGACGGCCTCTTTCCCACAGCTCCGTGGCAGCCTGCCTCTGCTCCCCGCACCCCGACGGCCCGCAGCGGGGGCGAGGGGCCGGCCTTGCCCCCCCAGATGGCTGGGGCTTTAGAGGGGGGAAAAGAGCCGTCCCTGCACCCTGTGCCATCGGTGGCGCCCCCAGACCTTCAGCCCCTGAAGTCGCAGCCGGTGGGGAAAGGCCCAGCCTGGGCTCGGCACCTCCTGCATGGTGTGGAGCAGCTCCGCGGGGGGGGCGGACACCCCGCAGCGGGGCCGGGGCCCCCCATGCCCCCACGGAGGAGACAAAGCCCTTCGGAGCGGGGGCCGAGGTGCCCCCCGCTCCCTGGCCAGCGCCGTACTTACAGCAGGATCTCCTGTTTGCTCAGGAAGGTCAGCTCCTGCGGGGAGAGCGCCCGTTAGCACCGGGAACCGGGGCTTGGCCCGGGACCCCCCAGCCCCGGGGGCCTTTGGGCTCGGGGCACCTCCC